AGAGAGTTTTATCCCATCCAGCATTCCTAAGGAAAGGATGAGGTGGCTGACCAGGATTCTCAGTATCCTTTTTATTGAGAAAGGATCTGTGACATCTTTCATTTGTGATATCTTCATGTTCATGGTGCTGCTGAGTTGGAAATGCAGGTTCAATACAGAATGTTCCTTTACATAAGTTAGTTTGTTTTACTATTGTAATTTCATTAAAAGCACAGGTGAGGGAGGCAATATGGTGATTCTTAATATTTTACATGTCCACTGAAGGATTTTCTCAAAGCAAAAGAAAGATCATTTTCTACCAAGGACTTTCCTCCCACAAAACAAAATAAAAAATTTGTTAACAGCTGGAGGCAACAGAGCTTTGCAGACAAAAACGCTTTATTTTGACAGATTAATTTTCTCACTGCTTTTCCTGTTTTTTTCTAACGTCTTTTCCTGTTTTCTCCCCTGTCCCACTGGCAGGGAGGGGGGGAGCCACCAGCTCCATGGGTGCTTGCTAGCAAGTGCCAATGCACCACAGCATCGGACCCAGGTAGGAATGTAAGACAACTGTAAACATAAATCACTGGATAGAATAGGCAGCCAATATTTAGTGGGTCTAGAAAAATATAAGTACTGGGTTAAAATTCTTATGGAGAATTCAGGAAAGGTTGAGATTTGGTGAGGGTTTGCATGTTTCAGGAGGCTGAATACATTGGCATTCTGATACTTAGGAAGCACAGACTCTTTAGCATCTATTTAGCATCTACAACGCTAAATGAAATAGGGCTAGAGACTGAGCCTTTGTCCAAAATCCATCTGGCACAGACTTGTTCATATGTATGCTGCCTAAGACTGGCCTCTACTAGGCTAGGTGGCAATATGCATGTCTTTCCTTCAGCTGTCATGCTAAAACTTACTTATTGTTTGGGGGAATATTTCAGCTCAATGTGTCTGACGTAATATGAGGGATGTGTTGCAGCTCATCAAAAGTTCTGTTTTAGTAGCTGTTGCAGCCCGAAAGGAGTCGTTCAGGGCGACCTCCTTCCCCGTGAGACCAACGACCAAGTTCGTGATCCCCCTGGGATGAGTGAAACAACACCAGCCAACCAATTTAACAATTTAATAATACAAAATGCAAGGCATGAGGTTACATGAGACGAAGCTGAGTCGATTCACAACTCCCTGCATCGCACCTTTGTGCTCCGAAACCAGTCTAGCGGGGTGATATTTACCACTACGCCTGCGCCGTAGCTCTGCTCTGCAGGCCTCCGCACCAAGAAACGTTTAAGACAAAGTCTGCACGTCGGTCCGCCACACCACCCTGTGGCTGAAACATTGATTGGACGCCTCGTCCACGGGTGTGACATGAAGATAAGATTCTTCATGCACATGCAACAGGCAATGGCACATCTGCAGGCTTTGGTGTCTCTCACCTCCACCGTATCTCTGCTCTGCGGGAGCCAGTATCTCGTTCTTCTTTGTGGTTTCCTGTGTTGTACCAAGAAAGGTGTGGTTTCCTTGGAACCGCAAAATGTTTAAGACAAAAACTGCGTATCAGTCCACCACAGTAGCATGAAACCAAAGGGCTGATGAATGACATACTGTGCAGTACGACACTGTCGTGGTTTAACCCCAGCTGGCAACCGAGTGCCACGCAACCGCTCACTCACTCCCCCACGGTGGGATGGGGAAGTAAGAGTAGAAGTAGAGAAAACTCATGGGTTGAGATAAAGACAGTTTAATAGGTGAAGAAAAAGCCGTGCACGCAAGCAAAGCAAAACAAGGAATTCATTCACTACTCACCATGGGCAGGCAGGTGTTCAGCCATCTCCAGAGAAGCAGGGCTCCATCACACGTAACAGTTACTTGGGACGACAGATGCCATAACTCTGGATGTCCCCTGACCCCTTCCTTCTTCTTTGTCCCAGTTTTATAAACCGAGCGTGACATCGTATGGTGTGGAATATCTCTTTGGTCAGTTTTGCTCAGCTGTCCTGGCTGTGTCCCCTCCCAGCTTCCCATGTACCCCCAACCTTCTCGCACAAAAAGCCGTGCAGTCCTTGACGGCTTAGCAACAACTGAAAACATCAGCACGTTATCAACATTTTTTGATCCCAAATCCAAAACATAGCCTCACAGTAGCTTCTGTGAAGAAAATTAACTCTATCCCCACTGAAACCAGGACAGACACAGAGGTACATTGGGTGTGTTTGAGGTGCAGAGATTGCTGGGACACTGTTGGAGGGTTGTTTAGGGTGGAGGAAACTAAATCTGGTGCAGCCATATTCATACTTTGTGGGGGTCATGTCTGGCATGAACCATCCTCAGAGCCAGGCCTGGATGTTGTCTTGGAGACAGATAGTTTGGGTTGTCCACAACAGAGCTAAGAAATAAACTAGTACTGAAATTATGTAAACAATTGAGCTTCTCCGTGCTTGCGTTCATTTTACTTCCCTCTTTTTGAGCAATATAGATGTAAACTGTTTAGATTCTACAGTTACTGTTTGCAGCCAAAGCTTTCTAAATTTCAACATGAAACAGATGTTAGATCTGAATTTTACGTAACAATGTGGGATTGAAGGTACAGCAGCAGTGGCCACATTAATTATTATCAATTTTCATAATTAAATTTGGGTTATTGAGACATCAATCTGCATGGGTTAAGAAGAATACAGATGTTGAAGCTGGATTTTTACTAAATAAGGTGCCTGTAGGCACAAACTGTTATCCCAGAGATATTTTCAGTCCTCAGACATGACTTTGCTATAATTTTGCACTGCTTCTAGTCTCACTGCACCTCATGTATTTATCCTGCTGTCCTACATAGGGACTAAGCTTGAGGCTTCCTTTCATTTGCCAGCATCTTGTACAAAAAAAACCGAAATATATTTGGGAAGCAGAGGGGGAACCTGGGTTAATGATCTTCCCCAGGGCCTGCCTTTAGCAGGTGGCAGCCCACATGAAGCAGAGCAGCAAGCCTTGAGCCTTCTGGCCTACCTGAACACCTTCTTGGACAACTTAGGGGATGGCTCAGATTGTCAAGTGCCATGCATTTGATTTCTGGTAAGAGCCCAACCATTATCCAAGACAAAATGTCCGTGTTTTCTGCAGAGACCAGAGGTAAAGAATAAGTGCACAAAACTGCTCCACGGCTGTGAGGCCCTTTGCTCTTTTAGCAAATCCTGAAGACATCTGGCGGAGGAGATGCTCTCTCCCCCACCAGCCTGGAACACTCTGAAGCAAGAAACTGCCTTTGTTGGCAACATCAAGAGTTGCCTTGCAGCTATGACGCAGCAATGTCTTACAAATTAGACATATTCCTTTGCCCACAGTCTGTGGCTTTAAACAATATGGGTCAAAGAGGACTATAGCCTGTTCTGGCCTCCTGGGCAGTTTCCAAACCAAGACAGGGGCTGTGTGAGCAAGTACTCTGATTAATGGCCCAGGCAGCTAAAAGGCAATGTGTATCTATCCCCCCAACTGAGCCAACTCCTTAAAAAATGTCCCAGAGACTAATTCTTCCCCTAAGAAACCAAAAAGAGAGACTGCACTGCCAACCTGGGATGGCTTCTGCATGTATCAATGAATGCCGCATCATTGTCTCAAGAGAGATTGGGATTAGAGAGATCAGGGTTTAGCAGAAGGTAGGCAGAGGGCCTCTGGTTGACTTCTGCTATCTATCTCCAAGAAGTGTCTATACCAGACTCTCCCACAGTGTTCCTGTGCACTCACAGACTGGGCTAGACACATCATGGCCCACAGCAAGACAGTTCTGGGAGAGGTGCAAGGGACTTTGCACTGGCTCATCCCTTTGCAATGTACTGCCATTGCGCTCCAGCGTCTGCACAGAATGATTCATGTACAAATGCAGATCGTCCATGCTGCAGAGCATGTTAGGAGGGACGGCATGACGGAGAGACCACTGATACTGCCTTCTTCAGGCAGCCCTAGGAGATACATGCTACTGGATGTGGCAGCTCTGGGAGGTGTAATGCTGGTGACAGTGTCCCATACATCACCCCAGGGAGTGTGGAGAACACCAGAGAGACTCTATGGCTCTCCATGTGGCATTTTGTCTTGCTACTTTCCCAGCATGTGTGCGATGTGCTGCAAGACCTAGACAGTCTGGACCGTCAGGAAACCCGGCCACAAAAGCCACCCTTCAGCAATGTGGTTTTAGTGCAGCTTGAGCAGCTGAGGACAAGAAGTGACAGGATCTGCATTTATGGAGCTGAATTTCCCTAGCTCTGCTGCATAAAGCTTGAGTAGCATTACTAGTTCTTTTTTTCTTGGGTTAGGAACTGCCAAAGATCTTTATTTTACTAGTGATACTAAGAAGGTTGCTGGTTTTCCCCAGCTCTGCAGATCCCATAGATACAGTACCACTGGTCAGATGTGTTCACTGAGGGGATCTGCATTTTCGGTTAAAGGATCATGTATTTGTCCTCTATTCATCAGGTAGAATTAGGAAGGCCAAAGTAAAAAAGTTTTCTGGTTGAGCAGAATTGAAAGGCAGAATTGGAGTTGTGCACAACCATTGCCTTAGGATTTATCTGAGCATTAGTTTTTAGTTTCACTTTCATCTTTCTCCTGACGCTCCGGCAAAACAGAAACCAGCAACCCCCCTAGAGTTATTCCCCTCTGACATAGGCAAATTTGAAGTGCTGAGGTAAAAAATTGTCAGAAATATGGCTTTCAGACAGACCTCACTATGCTTATCCTGAAGCAGTCAGTTCCAAGGCTGCACAAAGTGTTGTTGACTGTTGTATTAGTTTTTTTAGCATAGATCAGCTTTGCTGTCACCCCATGACTCCTGTCTGACCGGGGGCTGTGGTTGAGACGATCAAACCGAGCTTCGGCTGGAGGATGACTCAGAAAGCTGTGCATGCATTTGCATGTCTTATAGCTGAGAGTCCAGCCCGGGGTGGGACTTACAGGGAATTGAAACCAGCTTGCAAGAACTCAAAGTTTTGAGTTAGCGGCAATACTTTCTGACAAGGCAAGGTACTCCTGTAGTGATGTCTGGGGTCAGTGGATGGAGGGAAGGCAGCAGGTACAGGACGCCCGCTGCCTCCAGTACCCCGTTTTCCTCTCAGGGTTATCTCTGGGATGGCAACAATAAAACAGAGGAGGCTGAAAGCCCTCAGAAGCTGACAACATCTGAAGAGGAGCAAAGCAGCCAAGCATCAGTCTACCAACAACAGCAAGAGCAGTAGTAAGTAGCAAGGAGCCTGGCTGAGGTGGTGTTGCACGTAGCGGGTGCCTGTTCTCCACCTTGAGATGCACACCTTCGAAGGCAGAAGTACTTTATAGAGAGCCTGTAAATGGGACTGGGCACAAAGGTAGCTTGTCCTTGTCCTCTCAGAGCCACCTGCAGTCAGCCTGAACCTACCTATGAACAACGCTACCTACGCGGGACCCGAGTTGTTCTGGCAGGCTTGGTGATGGCATGGCTTACGCTTCAGGCGATAGCAGCGGCCGGTTCTGTGCGTTTGATATTGCTGTGTCTAGTGTCAGTTTCTTGGCAGCTTGTTTCAAAGTGAAATTTCAAATCTGGTTCTAGCTCCTTGTTTTCTGTCTCCTAATATTTCATCCTGGAAAGTCTAAAAATACTTCTTTGGCTTAAGAGGTGGATATAGGCTGCATTCCAGCACTGATCTGAATGCAGTCCAGGACACAGAACAGCTTCCAACAACTTCATGCTGACAAAAGTAAAGCCAAAGCTTCAGCCCTCAATTTTATTTTAGGCTTTATTGAGACCTATGCTCATTCCATCTCTGGTTTTCCAGTGATAATTCTTAGATAGCTTGTATAAGCTCTAGCTTGCAGATATAATACAGAATAGAAACGGACAGTAGTGTGTGTGTATTTTATGCACATGTGCTTAATACATATATGCTTAGCTGACCAAAGCAAATTGTTTACAGTCTTTTTCCCCAAATGGGCCTTTTCTAAGCTGTTAGTAACAGTGCATGTCACGCTATTATTATTATTATGTGCTGAGTTTGCTTCAGCTTGCCTTTTTTTTCCCCTGCCTTTCAAAGTGCAGCCGGCAGAAACTGAAGGCCGTTTCAGTTTCCTTTCCCTTCTTTCTGGATGAAGAAGGTGGAGCCACGCTGTGAAAGAGGTGGCAGGTTGCTGATCACAAGCAGCAATCAGCAGCTTTCCACTGTAACCCACGAACCTTTGCCTACTAGGTGGTAATGATACAGGGGCTATTAAGAGCTGGGTAGCTTTGAAATCCGTCAGCGCTTTAATGACGGACTTTCAGGAGAGCAAACAACCATTCCTGAGTTACAGTCTATGTTTATTTTCTGCCACTTCCAAACCTGAAAGACCCTCTTGTCTTCCCTGCCCTTGCACTGGCATATATCCCCAGTGGAGTGAGAGCAGCCCTAGTTAGCTTATGTACTTGTGCTATGTACATTTTTTTGCCCTTTTTCCTCTGGGGTGGGAGAGGGATAGTGGGATTTTTCCCATTGGTATAACTGTCTTTACCCAAATTTAGTCAGGGTTATGAACCCCTGGTATAGGTTAGGTAAATACTTAATCTGTTGGAGCTCCCTGGTGAATTTAAAGCTAGAGCAAATACATGCACACACATTCTGACCGGATGATGGGATCCCCCCTAAAACTAGGTAAGCTTTTGGGGGAAGAATAATTTAAAGCCCTGTTCCCTTTTTCATCTTGATATGATGCTTACAGAGAGAAAGCTGTTGTGCATCAGCTGCGAGGACTGTGCACTTAGTATTTTTTGCTACGTGATGTGAAAGATTCTGTCTTGTGTCTTCATAGAGCTGTAACAGAGAATTCATTCCTAAACCTGGCGTGTACAAATTAAAGTCTGCATTAGTATGTAGTTAATGAGGAGGAGAGATGAGGGAAAGGCAGGTTCAAACAGAAACCGTGTAATATGAGTGGGAAACAAACGATCAAAAAAAGAAGTGGGCAAGACTGGGGTTTGCTCCCTTCCCTCAAGGGTCAGTTTGAAGGAGATGAAGCCACTAAAACTGTGATTTCCTTAACTAACCCAGATTAAAGTGGTAGAAGGTCTCTGAAATGCTGAAGTTGTTATTCTTAAAACAAAAATTAACAGGTACTTTCATTTTTCTATCTTTGTTCTGTTATTTCAAGTTATGTTTGAAAAAGATCTCAGATAAAATATAATTTCAGCAATGAAAAAGCTGACTCAGCCTTTTAGCCATCAATCCTTTTGAACATGATGCTTAAAACTAAAATAGTAGGACAGCCCCAGACTAGCCCAGGTTTTCAGGCTCTGGGATGACCAAGGGTTGAACCAGTTTGAAAGCTAAAGTCATAGAGTTCCAGTAGAAGAAAAAATGCACAGACTAGCATTAACCTAGAAGGCTTTCTGGAATATGCATAGCAGAGGGAACATGAGGGGCCCAAGCAGGATACCTCTGTGCCAAGGAGTGGCTCTATTCCAACTTGTGTGCTGCTTGCTATTTTCTGGAAGCAGCCAGAATGTGTTTTTTTCTGCCAGCAAAGCAGGAGTCTGAGTCTCTGTTGAAGCTTCTGAGTATGTGTGTCATTTGTTTCCACGCAAACTCTCCCATCTCAGGCTGTGCTTCAGAGAAATCGGGAGTGGGAAAACACCTTAGCAGCATCTTAGGGTGAAATCAGATGACCTTTCATGTAGACTGGACACATGAAATATGTGTGGGACTTGGCATGTTGTAGTCTCATCCACTAGTCGATATTCAAGCTTGACTATTAAAAAGTACAAGGCGGGCAACTGGTGTTAGAGGGTAATTTTCCTCTTGCTTTGGAAAAGCCCTTATGTAGTATGTCAAGGCTGAGAAGAGATAATAAAGTGATCCTAATTAAGTTAAGAAAAATACTTGTTCAAATGCAAAATTGAATTGAAACTTTGCACCTCCCCCTCCAGTTCTATATGGGAAGTGGTTTCAGGCTGTGGAGAAAAAATCACCAGGATGACAAGTGTTGGAAACTGCTTATGATAATAAGTTTGCATTTAAGTTATTTCACTTCATCTGCTAAGTGCCATGAAATTAACTTGTGAATTCCCAAATTGCCCCTGTTCATGTCTATTCAGAAACAAAAGTCTGTGCAGGAGAAAGGGTGGAGGAAAGTGGGGAAATTAGACACTGAACTGTAGCTAGTGCCTGAAAAAGAAAATGCTGTCCCTATTCAAGCAGTCTGTCCTTGGCGCCTGTAAAGCTGGCAAGAGTAATATTGGTTCAAGTAAAAATCCATTAAAAAAAATCAAATTCAAAATAATAAAACGTGAAGATATATTGTCACACAGCTGGTAACAATCCCTCATAATTTTGTGTGAAAGAAGAGCAGGATTACTAGAATGCTTGACTTGTGGAATTGTATTCTTTAATGGCCAAAAGCCAAATCCATCAGGGCTTTCTTTCCTTCCTTTTCCAGTCTTCATCCTGAATTTAAAAAAAAAAAAAATCTACAGTGTGTAACACCTCTCAATCTTTTGCCGATAGAGAATGCTTAGCAGTTCTTCTGAAAATTTTATTTTCTTTCACTATCTGAGATTTCTTTTTAAAAAGAACAAATTAGTCTACAAAACTGGAGGTGGATGCTTAGCAGAATGCTTGTTTTTCCCACTGCCTTGCCACTGGTGGGAGGGAGTAGCACTGGAGTGCTATTTGAATCATTGACAATCTGTTTAGGGTTAAACTCTGCATTTGCTGTGCAGGAGAAATCTCTCAACTCTCTATCCTTCAGGCTGATGTACTAATCTTTACAGCCCAGTGGGGCGACTCAGGGATGCCCGGCTTCCCTGTGGTCAGTAGCCAGCCTTGTCTCTAGCCAAGTGTTTGGTGGCAGGCTCTATGTAAGAGGATGACTCTGCAGTAAGATTTGTGTTAGTCTGGATTATGGAGGTTGCTGTGTTCCTCATAGTGTTTGCAGAGGAGGGGAGGAGGTTCTTCTAACTCCTGTGTTAGAAGGCTTTCTCAGGAAAGCTTGATTTGCACAAGGCCTGCCATGTTCCCTTGGTGCATAGCTTGATGAGGAGCTGTGGTGAGACGATGAGTAAGGAACGTATGGGAGGATACTGTGTTTGGGCAGGGCTAATAAAATAACAAATACTGTGGTGCAGAGGCAGAGGAGGAGAAAATATATCGTTGAAAAGAAGGTGGGGGAAGCAGAGATGAATATGCCACTAGCTTAAGTCTTAATCTTCATTGTGATACAGCATCTGACCTGCTCAGCTCTCCAGGCATGCTGGCAAGGCTGACTCGCAACACACGGATGCCTCTGCTGGGCGTAGCTTGGCTCAGCACTGGCGTTGCCAAGCCCAGCGCCTGGAATGGATGGATGGATGGATGGGTGGACGTATGGATGCTTCTGTGCTCCTCGCGGCTAGTGATTACCAGGTGCTCCAGCTGGCTCGGCGCACTCACTGCATCCCTGGCACTGTGCTGCACTGAGGTAACTGAGCTGCTTTGGGACCTGGGGACAGCATAAACACGGCCACATCTGACTTAATTTGGGTCTTCTGACTTCTGACTTCATTGGGTCTGGTGTCAGTCTGCCACACTGCCACAGCAAACTCTGTCCTGTTGGTGTAGTCTGCCCACGAGCATATGCTGACTAATGGCGTGTTAGTGTTTTCAGGGAAGAGACAATGCTGTGCGGCAAGCCGAGTTTGGGCTGAGAGCTACCCCTTGGCTCCCTGATTTGATCCATCACTGTAACAATTTCCTTAGAGCTTTAGAAGGTGGTTGAGATTGTCCAAAATGGGGTTCTGGCTGAAGCACCTGCAGTTCTTTCTGCTGGGCTGTCACATGCTGAGCCCAAACCAAGCTGTTGAATCTGAGCCCCATCTTAACTCTTGGAAATTCAGTTTTGAGATTCAGTTTTACTTTTTGGACCAAATTTTAACTTCAGGAATTTCTCTACAAGCTTGTGGGTATCGGAGAATTGAGATTTGGGTGCCAACAGCAGAACCGCAGGTCTGTTGCTTTTCCTGCTTGTTTCTGACTCATGCCTTCTCCTGGGTCTCTCTCTGCTGCTGTTTTCCTTCTCGCTCTTTACCTGTGAAAGTTCACTTCTGCAGGATTTAACTCTTTGTTTTATCCTAGGACCTCACTATGGCAAAAATGTTGGCCATTATAATGAAAGCTTTAGCTAACCAGAGGGACCAGATACAGAAGTGAGTTACCCTTGCTTAATAAGCTTCAAGACATCAGCTGAATTGTGGTAATTAAGTGCACTCCTAGCCTGTGGCAAACACGGGACAAAATCCATCTTTGTAGACTTTTGATGATAAACATTTTCTGCTAATGCAGTTTATTTTCTGCCTCTCATGTTAAGAGCACACACGCAGCTAGGATGAATCAGTGAATAATATTACGTAATTCGCTTTTGTCTCTGAGCTGCAAACTGGTAAGATGCTGATGCTGATGAAGATGGAAAGCCAGAGCCCCAAGCCTGCACGCAAGATTTGTACACCCTCCCAAAGCTCCGCTTACGGCACCGCCGGGGCGCAGAGCATATTGCTTGACTGAGTTCTAGAACTGTGGCTGTCGTTAGCATCTGGCCGTGCGTGCACTGCGACATGGGGATACCTGCAGGACAGTTGTCTGCTCACTGGGCTTTGGCATCTTGTAGCCCTCTGATTTGGCAGCTTCCATGGAGCTTAGCAGCATATGGCTGCTCCATCAGGCATGGGAGCCTTGGTGAAAGCAATACTTTGTGGTGGCGTGGACTTGACTGCTCTTAAAACAATTCCTGATAATTGAATGCGAAGTTCAGCTTAGTGTATCTTTGAAGGAGATTCAACAGTTGTCTTTGGCAGTTTGGTCCCTTTTCTCTTTTAAATTCAGTCTTAACATATTATTTAATACAGTATTTCACCTGTATCTTCCCTTGAGTCCTTCCTCCAGGTTGAACCTGCCCAGGTCTTTTTCCCAAGCTTTAGTCATTTGTATTGCTCTCCAACTACACTCTCCTTGGTTTCTGTCTCTTACACAGAGCACATAGTGCAGTGGAGCGAAATATTTAGCTTTCAGCTTTGTGGCATTCATGTACCGATGCACCCACAGTATAAAACACAGTGGAACTGGAAATAGTTTATAACCGCCATTACTTTTGTAACTCTTTAAACTATTTCACACTTCATTTGGAAAGCTCCCCAGTGGTAGATGGCTGGAGCAGGCTTGTGAAAAAACTGAAGGGCACAGATCTGCAAAAAACATTATTGGTGAATAGCAGTTCTCATGTGTTCTTTTCCATTTTAGAAATAAACTATTTCATACAAACCTGAAAGAAAGTAGAGCAAAGGTTTCTATGATCTATATCATGAAAGCATTGAAAAGGTGTCGTTACGTGATGCTAGCTGGATGAGCAGTTACACAGAGGATTCAGAATTTAAGATTGCACACATGGTGTTCTCTTTGTTGCTTGTCGCTCAAACTGTAATCTATCTTTGCAGGTTTTCTATGACTGTATTGCATGCTTCTCCTGACTGAAATGTTTCTATACCTATCTATTTATATATATTGTTATATAGGTATTTATCTTCCCACTACTGTGATATTTGATGTCTATCTGTTAGAAAAATCGTAGAAGGTTGCTTTTTGGTTTTATTTCAATACAGATGCATTCTCTTATGAGGTTATAACTTTCTTACTCTCATTAATATTTGTTCAGTCTGTGTAATTAGTCAATACGTTCTCATTTTCTCTGAAGAAAATAAACCAAAAAAAGTCTCATCAAGATTTATATGATCTATAAAGGTAAAAGATGATTTGTTTCTCTTCTCTGAAGAGCTATAACCTGGGTAAGGTGTTCTCCCCTACTCCTCCAGTGACTTCTGTATTTTTATTTATAAAACGACCCTACCTCAAAGATAGGCTTAAGTCATATAACAAAAAGAATCATTATTAGGGAACCTGTAAAGTTAAATTCTTTATCATCTTTTCTGGTTGTGGATTTTGAAGCACTTCGTATATATTCGTATAAAGTACAAGAAGTCTGCACACCACTGATAGCTTAAAATCTTCACATTTCCTTAATTGCTACCCAGGTAAGAAGGATAATTTGCTCCAGACTTATGGCTATTGTGGCAACTCTGAAACTGACTGGAATATTAAATTGACAGGCTGTAGTGGGTTTTATAGGCTTTACTAGATCAGAGGTTTTGTCTGAACAAAGAAATGACATGCAATATCCTGCAAACCGGCTAAAAGCACACTGGAGGTGGGTTTTTGCATTAACTTTCTTTCCTTCAAAAAAAATCTCAAGAAAATAAGGGACAGTAGGTGCGGATTTTAATTTTAGCGTTAGAACCGGTAAGGCAGGTGGAGTATCTCAGGCAGCAGCTCATCTGGCTCCTTTCCTGCTGTAGGCTTGAAAAGCAAAGACCAGTTCATACCTTGACTTTCACCCACCCCACAAAAACTTTACCGTGTGCTCGCTCTTCCTTCCCCCTGATCCCAGTACCCAAAACTACACTGGTACATATCTATCTTTCCAGAGACCAAGGTGAACACTATAAAATTAGATAAGCTCACTAATGCCTTTTTTGTTGTTGTTGTTAACCTGGGCTGGAATAAGGCACGTAGTATAAGCAGTACGTAACAGACAACCAAGAGTTGGTATCCTGTTCTCTCTTTCCCTCCCCCACTGGAGACTTGACATCCTCATTTTTATTTCAGTAACATGGAAACCAAATTGGCCTTTAAGTAGGCACTCTTTTAACCACAATGACTCTTAAAATGCTCTTTGGAAAACAGAGCAAAGCTTTCCCTGGCGATGAGTGTAGTGTCACCTCTACCCCTTTTGTAAATTGATTGATCTTCGCTGTATTTCATGTGCCGTCCTTCTGAGCTCCAGAATAATGACCACAGTCAGATGTCAGAAGAGTGGTCCCCACCTGCCCTCCCGGATTCTGAGCCTTCCAGCCAAAAAGCAGAAGCAGAGAAAGGAAATGATTCACGGCATAAGGGCTAGGTTTGATATCGTGATTTCTCATACATGTGCAGACACGCAGAGGTCCATGCTTCCTTTTTAATTTGATTCCTAATTTTTAAAAAAATAACCAAGCCAACACTGTTTAAGTCATCAAAGTACATCTGATGATATAAAAGCTCATCTGCTCTCTAGTGCTGTGAAGCAGTGGGATGTCTGAGCTGCACTGATGTTTTTTTGGGGGGAAAATATGTAGCCTTGCAACTCACAATTCCAGCCATTTTTTCACTGACAAAGGAAGGGGAGTATAAAAGGTACTTAATAATTTTTGTGTATGGACTTGAGAGAAATATGATCTTAATATCTGAAGCAGACAAGAAAAATACTAAAAAAATTCCTTGAAACTAATAAACTGTATGGCAGCTTGTCAAAGGCAGTTTGGGATAAACTGTAAATGCTACTACTCAGTCAAATAAAATTCTGAAAAACCATCACTGATGGGGATTGTTATGCCATAAGCAAGATGGGTTGTCAAAACTTCTTTTAAGTAACTGTTGCAGTTGTGCTACGAATGCCAGGAGGGTGTTGCTGCTCTCTTAGCTCCTGCCTTTGAGGGTCTGGGATTCAGTGGAGAGGTGAAGAACAGTCTCACAGGCACCAGAGTATGCTGTCAGGAAGGGAAAAGGTCATATTAAATGGCACCATTAAAGCTCACAGCTCTATCTTTACTAGTTTTATCTCATAAATTAATCCACATCCTCCTAGAATAAGTCTTCAAAGAGAAAGAGGTAATTGGATATAAATACTTTCCTTCCCAAACCCTGGATTACAGTGATACGACAGCAGGCAGCTTTTTGCACTTTCATCTCTTTGCATGATTTTCATTCCCCTTTTTAGTCTTAGTCTCGAGCCTCATCCGCTCATTGCTTTTGCACAGCCAACTGTGCCTCTCTGCTTCCTGGCTTGTCCTCTAGCCACCCCCTGTGGCCCTTTCTTCTTTTAAGAGGCTCAGCCCCTCATTATTCTTTGTTGCCTGCTCTTCTCCTTGTGCCTTCCCCACGACGAAGTCGGATGAGTTATTTGTGCCCATGTGTGCCGATAAAACCCTGCCAAATGCTGCAGAGAGATGTGAGCTTACTCTGATAGATGGAGCCGACTGCTGCTTAGTGCCTTCCTGGTAAACCTGCACCCCTGTGGCTCAGCTTCTGCTGAGTGGGAGCAGTGTAAACTCCTACCCACACAATACACCGTGTAGATAAAACCCTCTGTTTTCACCAAGTGGAACTGACATGTTTTCATCACTCTTTTGATCATCTCGAGTCTTTAATACACTCTGAACCCTGTCCTGCCTCTTTGCTGTCACGTTAGATTGATAGCTCCTTGAGACAGCAACAACATTTTGAATTAAGTCTAGCAAAACAGCGCCTTTGTCCTGATGCAGTGAGTCGCACCTTAGGCATGACAGCAAGATAAATATGCCCAAGGAATTCCTGGTGCCTGGTAAACTCAAGGCTGACAAGGAAACTGAGGCTTAGGCTGAGAGCAAGTCACCTGGGTCCATCACAAACAGTATGATTTTGCACACTCCCTGGACAACTTTTGGGCAGACTGCCTGAATACACAAGGTGCTCGGTGGCCTCGAGGTATGGGGTGGGACTGACAGCACCAGCGCTCTTCCCAGTAGACAGTGGTCTTCCTCTGTGCTTGACCAAGCTGTGGAAGTAGTTGTCTACTGCGTGGAACATTTTGATTCAAGGAAGTGGTTTGATTTGAAATGCATAAGGTTTGAGGGCAGCAGTCTAGAGTAAGACTTGAATAAGAAAAGTGAAGGCTATGCTAAAAGTTTCTGAAAACGTTATCCTTGGTCTTCACAGCAAACTCCAAATACAACAATTATTTCTACAGTATTTACCAAAAAATCCCAAAGAACTGGGTCAAAATAAATACCAGTTTTGATATGAAGTTATTTGCTACATCAGCAGAAAACTGACCTTGCTGATGAAGGAACCCCCTTCTAGTCCTGGTTTTTGGTAGACAGGAAAAATAAGAGAGTGTTTTCTTTCATTTTAGTGTTGGCCCATATGTCTTGATAACTCCAAATGAAACCAGAAGAAACCAGTTGCAGCAAAGTAAGTTGAGTTGTCTAATACGATAATACATTATTTCTAACTGAATGTTTAGGGGATTGTGCACTTCATTGCCCTTGCAACTTTTATCCTTATTTTTACAGTGCTTTTAGATGTACAGCTATGACAATAAAGTCAGTGTTACGAGCATTCTCCATCATCATGTAAGCTTTTCTTAAGATTAACTTCTCATCTGGCTAAACTTCATGCAGAATAAGTCTTGTTCAGGTTTTCAGTAATTCCAGTGCTGGATCTGTTCAAGCTGGCTTTGACAAGACTCAGCTGGAATTAGCCTTATCCCACTTTTACACAATTGAATTCAGATTGGAGAACTCAACTTCGAATGCTCTCTGGGTTAGGGGGAGGAAGAAATAAAATATAAGTAAGAAATATTTTTGAAAATCCTGTGATGTGGAGAGTAAAGCAACTAGTACTGCTGTTGGTTCTTGAACCTCTGTTTAAGGATTATAGGTGGCTCTTCTAATGAAGCTGGTCAAGATGATTTTAGAGGGAAAATATCTCTGAATGTAAGTTCACTTTTGCTTGCTTTGAGTCTTTCTGGTGAAAGTAGCTAAGCAGGAACCTCTACCAGAAAGATTAGTCATGTGTTAAAAAGCCCTCATTGGCAAAGTCACAGCAAGAGTCAGTCATGAAAGAAATTCTGTATGCAGAGGTGACCAAGCACTGCAGTCCTAAACTCCTATCTGCTTGTTTGTGCAAGATATGAAAGCTGAAGGAGTGTCAGCACTCCTCACGTTTTGAGCCCTCAAGGAAACAGTATGATTAAATTCTTTCTTCTCAAATGTTGTGAGTTTGGCTGAAATGCTTCACCAGCAGGCTGGTGTGGGTTTCCTTTGGTTGCAAGAAAGAAAATGGACTCTCCTGAACCAAACCATAATCTTCTGTGAAGAGAAATAAAAGCACGTTATTTTAGAGCTGACTATGACACTAACAGCGAAGGTTCTGCTACTCCAATGAAGACCTGTTTTCACTTTGTGCCACCAGCAAGCAAGGTCTGAAGCATGCAAAGTATTTCTGCATTGGGTACTGGCAGAAATAGGGCCTCACAGAATCCAGTCTCTACCTAAGTGCTTGTTTTAAAGGTGAAATAGCAAGCTAGTGTCTCTCTTGGGGCTCTTTAGAGACTTGCCCAGGAACTGGCTCTATCTTGTTTAGAGGAGAGCAGGTGTTAGCATCTGATAGCCATAGCCTGCCATTAGAAATTATGGTTCATGTTGGTTTTAGTAAGAGTGAAATGACCTCCTAGAGCAACTGAAGTACTACTGTAAAACACAGCTCCTCTTTCCATGGCTTTGTTGGCCTTGCTATTGAAAGGAATTGTTGTTTTTTTTCCAGTCAGTTGATTGGAGAGAGCAGTTGAATCAACCAGCCATCCTAGAGCATATGGCTGGTGCCCCTGGCTGTATTGACTAGACTTCCACCAACTACACTGGGAGCTTGCCACCCATCTCACATGTGGACAGCTATGTTGATATAACTTAATTTGAAGCTGAATTATTCATTACTCCTGTTTTTATTTAGGGAGCATGTGGTTGGGAGGGAAAATTATTTATTCATTTCCCTGCTGGGGAGCGTTACTCCACAAGCATTTCCCTCCATGCAGCAGTAAAATCTTAATCGTAACAACTTCTGCTTTACTTGCAGGAGTGAATACTGTGGCATTTACCTACAGGTTCTCAGGGGTTCAAAGCGGTCTATTAGCAGTCCCTTAGCTGTTTTTTGTTTTGCTGTTGCGGTTGAGTCCTAGGGTTTGCTCACCATACAGTCTTGGGTTAGGCAAAATGTTTGCCTTGTTTCCTGATCATTGCGGTGATTGTGTAACCTCGGCGGGGGGGGATTGTCTGCACCCCTTGAGAACAAGTTTGTCTGTTCCTGGATAGGTCTTCAAGGTTACATACAGTTAGTGATACTGCTTGCTTTTGGGAACTGCCTCTAACTTCCATATATTTGTTTCTTTGTGTACCTGCTCAGTTGCTAAGAAGGAGCTGGATAACCTGGAGCGGTGGAAGGAAGAGCACAGGCCAGGGCCAATTAAGTTGCTTCCACAGAGACTGGGTAAGACATGTTAATCAGCTATTACGAATTGCAAAATGTTATTTTCTAGGACATGAGACATCTTTCACTTTTTCTCACATGCTACTTATTAAAGAGATTCAGTGTCAATAAGGGCTAACATGACCAGTACGTGCTGTATGTGCTCTGTGCTTTTTGATGATCATGGTAATGAAGATGTTTCTGAAACAAAACAGCATAGATTGTCACTCAAGAAATCTGTCGAGATCAGTGTAGAAAATCTATGCCAACATTTGGGAAAAAGAGGTGGATTATCCCTCCTGCTGGTGACGTTGTCTCTGGTTAATGTCTCTGATGGGACGCACACTTGGCATTAGTGTGCAGATGGACAGCATGTGTCAGCAACCCTCCAGTTACCCACAAGAAAACTCCGCTGTGTTATGGGCCAGTACATGTGCTTTCCTGATGGCTGGCTTCTGAAGAGGCAGAAGTGATCCCTGCAGCTTCAGGCGTTTGCAGGCTAAATGTGCAGGAGGCTCTGTATTACCCATTTTATAAAAATAACAACAGAGATAATTAAATTAAGAACAGGATAAAAAGCTACAGGAACTTAGGTCGCACTGAAAAAAAGCCAACTTTTTTTCTAGACAAGTGAGAGGAACCATAGAGGATCTCTTCAGTTGTAACCACTGTAAAGCATTTAATTTAGTGCTATTTGGGAGTTAGTTTAAAAAAAAATTAAAAAGACCAAAAAGAACCGCAACACCCACCCAGTCTTGTCCAAAGAGTAGGGCTGCAGGTTGTGCTGAAGCAGGAGGAAGGTCATTAGAAGTGCTTTTCAAGTACCAGTCTTCATCCTATCTTGTTTTAATATCTTTCTTTAATGTCTTGGCACAAGAAGTAGGAAAGAGCTGATGAAACTTGCTGACAAGACAAAACTTGAAAGCATCATCTGTATAGAACATGATGAGGATACTGCACAGCAAAAATGGGATGACCTTGAGGAACTGCGCTAATAAAAATGGGACAAAATTCATTCTGACAAAGTGAATGATTATAATGATGCCCTTATTAGTTTTGCAAAACTAGCACTCCTTTTCCTTCTTTTGGCTGTCATAGGAGAATTTGGGGTATGCAGTGCAGGCTATTTTCTGTCTGACCTGGGAACTAAGTTCTTTCTTTGCTGTGCTATACAAGGACTGGTTTACTGTGTATAAAAAGAGATACCAGGCAGGAGAGGGAGCAATTTAAACTGACTCCAAGCCAGATTTGTTTCTGGAGTCAAGGTGGTGTGGGTCCCACATGTTTGTTTTGCCCTGCAGCCTGAGTCCCAGTTGTTTGTCGTGATGAACCTGCCTTTGCAAGTTGGTTTAATGCCCTGTATTCCCACCATCCTGTGGCCAGACTTGCTGTTTGTGAGTTCATATATATTAGCTGCTTCTTGCCTGTGAGCAGTTCCTAGAAGACATGGTTCTATCCCAAGAGGGCCACAAAGCTTTTTGCTGAAAAAAGTGAAATGTGAAGACAGAAAGTTGGTGTGTAGTATCTAGGCAGAACGTGCGCAAACGGGCTGTGTGACTGGGGACGTGGTGGCAAACCTGCAGTGACTAAGAGTGTGGAGTGTCTTAACTTTTTCTAATCCCACTGCATTTAAAAATTTTCTTGGGAAAGAAGGAAATTAAGGAGCAAAAACAAAAAGCAAGAAAAAGCTGAAAGAATTCAAGGAGGTTATATGAGCTCTTCAGTCACTGTCTAGCTGCCATTTAGAAAGACCCCTGGAGACTGAGACACATGCACTATGTTCAGTGCCTCTGAAAAGAGGTAGGGTGCAAAGATTATTAGATCTCATCATTCCCACAGGAACAAATTTGGAACAGAAGAGAGCTCAAGGAAGGAGAAAAAATATAAGTGGCATCTTTAATTTCACAACTGTAGGTACTCATTAAGGTAAAAAAGTATCCTATGTTATTTTCTCAGAGTGATTTTAAGAGACTACACATCTAGTCCAAATCACCAGAGAATTCTTAAAGTTGAAATTTCTTAACACTTACGCTTTCCATAGGGAAATAAGTATTCTGGATTTAAACTCTGTAATATTTGACTGTCAAACTTTCAGTTACCATAGGAGGATGAGAGCAATGAAGGATGCAAGTTCCACCTTCCTCCATAAGCAATGAGTGAAGCAACAAATCATGCCTGATAAATGCAACAGCCTCTTTTTCAATTGTATTATATAAAGCCAGTCACGCCATACTCTGAATTCAGTGAAACATTCAACACATTACAGACAAGCCAACTTGAATGAATTAAGCCTATCTGAAAGGCCATAGGCAATGTCTAATAATGATCAGTAAAATACTTGTTTAGAGCCGATGTCCAGCAGTGCGTGCAGAAACTTACAGTGAACACAAGAGTGTTAAATGTTGCCAATAAAAGGCTAGAAATAAAGAAAGATCAAGCATCCAAAAGGTTTCAAAACTTGTTTAGTAGCAATTTTACTTCCTAGACCTGGAGAGGAGACACTCTACAATGCCAGCTGTATGCTTATTGCTACTGTAGGCTTCTTGCTTGTATATTGTATGGCTAGTCTTTCTTCAGAGCTTAATCTAATGGACTTATTGCTGGGCACAGAAATGTTTCCACACTTAGGGAATTGATCTCCCATTCACTGAACCTCACAAAAGCACCTAAAGATTAGTTCCTTCCATTAGTAAGTGGAGAAAGCTACTTTTAGTGAAGGGTGATCCCTCCTGAAAGATCTAGTATAGCTGTCTTACATTTCAGGCACCTCAAGTAGCACAGATCAGTCCAGCTGTTTCTGTAGAATTAACAGTCACACAGTGGGGAACTTCTCAGAAAATCACTAGGTGAAAATACAGCCCTCACCCTCAAAACGGGGTGGGGGCTGCTGTTGTTTTTGCAACAACTGAGGGAATGAATTAGTGGTTGCCCCAAAGCAAGAGAATACTTTGAAAAATAGCACAGCAGAACGATACACTCAAAACTACTCCCTCCATCCCTGAGGATCTATTATAAATTTCTCTGTGTGGTTGGCTTTGGGGGGAGGCGGGTGTGTCTGTGTTTTGTGTTGTGGTTTTTGTTTTGTTTTTTTTCAATTGAAGGCCAAACATTATGGCCAGAGCTTTAGATGTTCTCAAAAGACAGTCTGTGCCTTTGGAAAAGGCACCCTCTGCTACCTAGATATGAATAAGAGGTCTATGGGAAAAGGCTTTGATTTCCATTTCAGAGAGGGGATTCTTCCTCGAGCCCCAAGACATTGCTTAGAAGACATTCAAACGATAGCATCCCATCAGAGCTGGCAGAGACTTCAAGCTCCTAAATTTGACAAAAGAGAAACTTTTTGGCAATAAGATTTATGACTCTGTGTGTGACAAACTGAGCAAAGGTGGAGAGAGATGGATCTGAAAATGAAGACTCATCTGCAAAGCGTGACTGATCTTCTGAAAATGGAACAGTTCCTCAGTAAACTGTTCATATACTGTAAGACGTATTTGCTGGTAGAGTGGATGATACAGCGGATACTCTGTAAATAACAAGCTACTGCCTTTGATGGATGGATAAAATGATCAAAAAGGTCTCCTGTCTGTTCTCTTTAATGTCAGACAGCTACTGTAATTATGAAAAATTTCCTGTACATGCATACATCCAATCTGTTATATTGCTCTGTTCTGAAATGTCTGGCATTTGAACTTAAAATGCTCATGCAAAATGCAATTTATACTTTTTTTTTTTAAGTGGAAAGGAATCAGAGGCTCAAGCAAGGCAAAAACAGCAAATGATGCTCATGCAATCTAAATACCAGCAAAAGGTCAGGAAGAATAAATTTGTTTATTCTAAGAACTCAAAAAAAAAACTTTTCATGAAATGTTTTATATGGCTATAAAATAAACTCACAGCTGCTTGACAAAAGAAAGTCATGAAACCTGAAGGAAGCAGCAGAAAACTAGAAACAAATGTTCTGCACCAAAGAAAATGAGAAATCAGGCTATAAATATGTAGCAACCCATATCAATGATCATATCTAAAACAATAACCAGTACAGTAAAAGCCACTTACATGCCTTGCTGTATCTTCCGGCATGCTGCCTACACTTTGACTAATTAATCAATGTATCACCCCATCCAGTGCTTAGGTAGAAATGTTGTTCCTGTTATAAAAGGTATAAATGCTTGTAAGTTATCTATCAGCTGTGTGATTCCTTGCATGGATTCTCATTTATCAGTCCTAGATTTCTCAGCCTTCTTAAAGCTAATATTGGAGTAGCTGATGCACAGCATGCTTTATTCAGTGTCTCATTTTAAGAAAAAATTCTGGAAACTTTCCTCAAACACCCTTTAGATTCGAAAGATGTGCAGTACAGGAGTCAAGTCAAGTTACCTTATGTGTTCTTTGTATACATACATATGTAAAATAATTTTCTGTGTTATGTCATACAGCACAAGAGGGAAGAATATGTAAAAGCAAAAAAGGCAGCTGAAGAAGCTGAAAATCTGAAAAAGAAAGCAATTCAGAGAGAAAAGGTAAATATGGTTACTGCAGAGTTGAAGCCCTGTAACAAAGTTCATGTCTTGATGCTTGATTTTGCTGAACTACATGAAACAGGCTAATTAAATGAAATGTTAGCCCAAGATTGCATCAAGGAGTTGGGAAATCCAGTCCTCCTTCTCTTAGTAGCTGACTGAAGGATATCTGACCTGGTGTTCTTTGGGGCTTGAGTGTTCCTCTGGCTCTTCAGAAACTCCAGCCTTTTGGTTCCATCCGTCCTGAAGAGTTAGCAGTGAGAAAGGAAGAACACTAATGTTGTGAACAGTGATAACAGGTTATATAGCTCACTTTGTCACAGGCTTTCTCTGTAAGCCCTGATTATGGCAGATGGCACAAACACCTTCTAGAAATCCATAATTGCCTGCTGTACACATGGGAAGAATACAAGAAAATCCAGCCTGTCATGGTGGAAAAAGCATTCAAATCATGAAAAGGTCAGTGTAGTCTATCTGTGTTGTGCTGAGTGCACCCTGAAATTCAGATGCCCCTCCAGCCCCTTGCCAGAGCGGGGTGCCACACACAGGAATAAGATCACTTTTCCTTCTGTTATTTGCCATATATTGGCTTGATCTGGACAGGCTGGATCGATGGGCAGAG